TTTAGTTAAGCTAATGAAAGCAAAAATAATGCATCTAAATTTTCTCTCACAAAGGTATGTGGGGTTAAGAAAACGCTAACACTTTCTTCATTCATCATCAGGTTTTAAAGTGTGCCCTCAAACAAAGATTTTCTTTGAAGTACATGGAGATGAGAACACGAGAGACTGAGTATGCTGTCCTTCTACGTAGACATTAACTGGGCTTGATATGCAAGTGTGCTCTTTAAAACAGATTATGTTCCTTCTGCCTACATTTCCTGACTGTGAAAGACACAGATTTTCATCAATACCCCAGCCCAGCACTTCACCTTCAAGTACTGGTATACCCTTTTCATACTGTACATACAAAGGTTACCGTCACAGTCAACATTAATGAACAGTTAACATATCACATATTATGAGTGCAGTGTATCTAAACATAGTATACTGTAAGTACTATGATGCCTGACACGCTGACAGTACAAAACTGGACCTGCATCAGACAATACTTTGCTTACATGAAGCCACGTTCAGTTTAATGGAGTCTGGAACTGACTGCAGATCCAGCTGCACAACTGGGGCGCAGTACAGCGTAACACTGACTTTCAGTGCCTGTTCCAACCCCAGCAACATCACGGTGGATGCATCACATTGCAGCCTTGACAGAAACTGAGCAAAACACCCATATTTACAATTGTTTAAATTCACTGCATAAAATAGCATTTTTTATCATTTGTTTGAGAATAACAAATTGTTTATTTGTGTCTCTTGTAAGTAATTTAAGAAATTTCCTAAGTACCTAGATTCTTTTTACATTTACTTTTTACTGCCACAGAGTCCACTGAACTTCAAATCTTTCAAAGCAGGTTTCCTTTTAATATCTGTAAATCTATCACAAAAAGATATTCTCTCTAGTTTCAGTCTCAAGGTAACGATTTGGACACTTATAGGTGTACTTTGTTTAGTGTCACCTATGGTGTAGATTGGATAGATTTTGTAAAAGATAGCATTACTTTTAAAGAAACATACAATTTGACAAGCTATCGCATTTTACCTTCATTTTATTGCCATATTTTTCATCTCACTCGTTGTTTTCCAACTGTCACTAAATTGTTCATTTTCTTAGTCTGCTACATTCGTAGACCTATTTACTGTTTATAAAGCAATATGCACTTACAGGTTTTGGAGATGGCTTGGGCTCCGAGGGTCGCATGTGCAAGTGGGTCATCATTGCTTGAAGACGTTCACGTTCTTTAGAAAGCTGTTAAGAAAGAGTGAGATCAGAAGCATTTTAGAAATGACTGATACAGCTATTTTACTGCAGTGATACATCTTATCATTGAGCTTGACTCGGTGTAATGATTCCTGCATATAAAAGTCTATGTCAGTAGAAACTTATCTGAGAGGAAATGCAACTTTGGGCATGGAAAGAAAAAAAAAAAAAAAAACAACAAAAAACTTTTATAGCCTTTCATATGTTAAAAGGTCAGCGAAAACAAATAACACTTCATCTTTTTGTCAATAAGAGAATTGAGGTCACAGTTGCCTCGACAGCAACAAGTTACTAAGACCATAAATTAGAAGGCCCATAGTGTCTCTTTAAAGTCCTGTGGACACTGTTAGCAATGGACTAGTGCCAACAGCTGTGAAGGGGTGAAGGGTCCTCAAAGCACAGTGCCTGCCAGGATTGTCTACACACTTCATCCTTTCCCACTGAGGTCCAGTTAGTGCCCCCTGCAATCTGCCATCATCAATCTAATTCAATAGAGTGACAGAGCCCAGGCAGTGTGAAATGCTGAACTCTGCCACCGAGTCAGCATCGACACTGCACTGGGTCTCATTACAACTGATGGACCTTACTTCACTAGCAGTCAGACAAAGCAAAAAATGGCATAATTGGTCACACTGCAAGCTAAATCTTCACTTGGACTGTTACATTACAGCCTAGCCATTGTAAATGGTAAACAGTTCTTAAAAAGAGGTGCCTTTAGAAAACATCATGTTACTGAAACCTGTACTTTTTCTGAACTGATACCACTTTCTGATCATACGCTGTGTAAATATTTGTAGTTTCAGACTCAATTTTTTTTTTTTTTAAAAAGAGGAGGAAGTATTCAAAATATGTAACTTGTTGACAAAAATATTAGAATGTAAGAGGAAAATACATGTTATAATATGAAAAGAGGAATTTTTCAAAAGCTAGGTTGCATGAAGAAATGCTTGGAACTGTATTCTAGTGATACGGCTTTGCATATTTACACTATGACTACAACATTAATCGCAACAAGAATCACTCTGTTTAATACTGCCATTTTCTGGAGCGTTTTGTGGTACTTCCTTGCATGAATTCAGCTCAAGAGTTAAACCTGTGGGCTGAGATTGGACTAAAGAAAACAACTTATAAGTAATTTTAAGAGGAGGAAACTACCTGTATTACTGCAGATATTTTGAGTATGCTGGATATAATTTGGTCAGTGCATTTTTAATTAAAGAACATTTCAGGCAGAGGGTGGGAAAAAGGTTTCTCTTTAGGCTTCATATTATGTGTGTGTCACTTTAGAGACATGCTATTTGCCATGATGTAAATTCCTAACAAACAAATTAAGCTAACAGTATCCTGTAAATCTTAAAAAAGAAACTGCAACATTGCCTGGGTTTAGAAAGCTTTCATTTCAAGGGAAATGACAATAAATGACATGATTGTACACTCCTCTCATTGCTTTGAGTTTCCAGTATTAAAATACAAAGAAATGACATGACTGTACACTCCACTCAATGCTTTGATTTTCCAGTATTAAAATACAAAAGACCCTAACAGTTTGCTTTGTCTGAAAGAAAAACAAGTATTCTTACACACATGACAACGAGACAGTACGCTAAGAGGTGAGAAAGCTGAAAGGTGTTTGTCCTTCTTTGTCCACATATGGTAACAAAAGGGGAAAAAAGTCTCCTTCCCTCGCTGCCTCCCTTAGGCTTCTCTGCACTTTCCCAAGAGGGGATGGGACACCTGAGAAATACTCTCCTATGACTCCTGTACAGGCAGGAGGGGACCACATGGTGCGAGGGGACCGCATGGTGTAAGCATCCGGCATGGTCACTCTGGGCTGCCACGGTTTGCTCCCAGCCTCAGCAGCCTGGTAAAGTGTCGTCTCAATACAGGGGTATTTGGGCACTTCTTCCGTAAGCTGGAGGGAGCATTCGCATACGTGCAGTGACCTCTAACGGTTAGAGCCTGAACAGGGCACCCGAGTGCTGCGGTACCAGCTGTGGGACTCCCTGGGGACCTCACTGAGTGGGTCTGACATTGCATCTTCTGCTCTCAGAAAAATGCCCAGCATCAAGCTGAGAGTCATTTCGGGTGGAGGTACACTCTGCTACCCCTTTGTCCTGCAGAACGGCGTAGACAAGCATCAGGTCAGAAGGGGAAGAAGGAAGAGGGGTCCTGACCCAGCATTTCAAGAACTGAAGATGACTTGGATCCAGTCTCTGCTCCAGGGACTGCATTTTTCATTTGTGATGAATGGCATTAGGGTCTTAGTTCAAGCAAAATACTGTATACAGTCCTGATGTTAGATAATTATTGCATAATTTATAACGTGAAAAATCTTTTAAGTAAAAAAAAAACCCACTTGTTCATGAAAATCAACAAATTTAATACAAGAAACATATGGCTTTAAGCTAGAGTCACTAAAGCAAGTGTTTTCAATTTAGTTTAGGTTAATAGTAAATAAGTAACAGGATAATACATCCATGTAACAAACCTGTATTTCTAACTGCTAAAAACCACTTGCATTTGCCCCCGACACTGAGCAGTGCTTCTGTCATCCAATGCATGTTCATTGTTAAGGTGCCTAGAGAAGAAAGAGAACACTAGTAAGACAGTGTTAAGATGAAGAAAATTCCTTTATGAGTCCATTTTTCTCTCCTGTGCATATGGGTTCCATCAGTTTCAATGAGAGTTATGCACAAAGACCTAGTCAGAGCATGCCTTAGGTACAATACAAAATAACAAAACTGATTATTTCATTTAGTTCTACAAACTTTCTCAGTGATGACTGCCAGCTCCTATCTCTCAGGTCACATACGCTGCCTAAAGGCCAATGTAACTGGATATCAGTGACTGAGCTGATTTCCACTCCCTGTTGCTGTTGCAGATGAACAGAGAATCACCTTACAAATGATTCTTTTGCAAAAGCTATGTTTGCTTTCAGGTTGCTTGAACTACTGTGAATTAATGTAGATTTTCTTAAGATTTCTCTATCTGCTCTTCTTTACTCACTAAGGAAAAACAACAACAGAACATCCATTCCCTCCTCCCCAAAACAGATCTGTAGGAAAACATCACTGATTTTCACTGTAGGTTCCAGAAGCAGCCTCTGAAGATGATGGTAGTGATCAGGCTCCCCAGTCCGAAGAAGAGTGTGCATGGTAAAGGCAGGGGAAGGAACAGCAACACACCATCCACACAGAGCAAGCCTCCTGGGAGGGATTCAGGCTACACATGCCAGTTTAGCAAAACAAAACCACACTCTGCAATAGGGAAAGAAGACCTCAGTGAGCAGCTGTCCGTAACTAAAATACAGTCTAGGCCCGAGTGGCTGTCCCCTGTACATTTCAATTGAGCACAACTTTACAAAGCTCATTTAATACTGTTTTTGGAGAGCAGTGGTTTCAGTTTATTCTCTCTCTTTTCCAGGATCAAAGTCCCTTTTGGAGCTTTAATAGTGGGTTTGCTGCTCCACTGAGAAGAAAACGTAGGGATCAGGCTAAAGAAAAAATGAGAGCAAAGGAGTTTTGCCTTTGAATGTGGATTTACTGGCTATTTCCACTGTAGGCATGAGGGGTAAGCTTTGCAGGGACTACAGTCACAGATGGTCTCACAGTTATAGGAACCAAGTTATCTATAGCATGGAGGAAATATATCTTCTCCTTTTTCTTTTTTAGCAGAATTAATCAGATAACTATGTAGTTATTTGACTGGTAATCTATTGGAAAAATGTGTTTGTCAGAAACAGTGGAAA